AAGAGAGAGTTCCATGGTACGGATTGGAGGTGATCTATAAGTGAGCGAAAGGCAATCACAAATGCAGTTGAAATGGGCGTCGAGAATCAGCCTCTCCTGAAAGAGCTCATGGGCAGACTACCTCAGGAGTATAAGCTGTTGAAAAACAGCTGAGTCTAGGCCATAATGCTTAGCAACAAGAAGCACTGGAGCAGCTAGGGCAGCAGCAGCCGGTGGACACAGTGCAGCTGGGGCGGCAGCACTGGGTTCTGCAGCAGGTGGTCTGGAGACAGCAAGTGGGCTGGCAGCAAGTAGAGCTAGGGCAGCAGGTGGGTCTGCAGCAAGTGGGCTGGCAGCATGGGGGCTTGCAGCAGCTGGAGGTGCAGCAGGTGGGTCTGCAACAAGTGGGCTGGCAGCAGCTGGGGCGGCAACAAGTGGGCTGGCAACACTGGGGCTGGCAGCAGCTAGAGATGCAGCAGCTGGGTCTGCAACAAGTGGGCTGGCAGCAGCTGGAGATGCAGCAGCTGGGTCTGCAACAAGTGGGCTGGCAACAGCTAGAGATGCAGCAGCTGGGGCGGCAGCATTGAGTTCTGCAGCAAGTGGGCTGGCAGCACACAGACTGACAACATTGGGGCCTGCAGCAACTAGGGCGGCAGCAGCTCGAGATGCAGCAGCTGGGGCGGCAACAAGTGGGCTGGCAGCACACAGACTGGCAACATTGCGGTCTGCAGCAGGGGCTAGGGCAGCAGCTGGAGATGCAGCAGCTGGGACGACAGCAGGTGGGTCTGCAACATGAAGGCTGGCAGCACTGGGGCTTGCAGCAGCTGGAGATGCAGCAGCTGGGGCGGCAGCAGGAGGCCTGGCAGCAGCTGGGGCGGCAGCAGGTCTCCTGCTCAGAGCACACAGAACCACAACAGGAGTTGACCATGGTGTCAGAGGATGGAGGTGGTGTGTGGGTTTCCAGAAGGTGGGTTTGAAAGGTGTGGATGTCTCCTTGACTCGGGACCTCTTTTATACCCTGCTGAGAGATGCTCTCATCCGGTGTGATGCTCTTTCCTTGTTAGTGTTTGTCTTGATAAGCAGGTGATTATATCATTATGTTGGTTTCTTTTCCTGCATTCATTTTCAGATGAGGTAGGAAGCAGCATTGCCTTTCCTGATGTGTTAAGATTCATCTGCAAGTTCTTCCTGATCAACCGCTCTAGATCACTCTAGTGATTTTAAGGAAATCTCTCATGTGACACTGGTCCTCTTGTTTTTCTCTTTATCATAGTGCATTAGACATCATGTCCACTCTTGGTTGATAGTGATTTCTCTGGGTCTGTTTTCCATATTTCTCAACCCAGTTGGACACAACTGCAGTAGAGCATGATAATGTATTCACACTGGGTAAGGCGGATGGAAAGATTTGGAGAACAGGGCACTTCTGCCTTGAAGATACGAAGGCGAAAAGGACATAATCTTTCCCATATACAACGGGACCAGATTCTCGATGTTTTTATGCCAAAAACTAAGATGCTCTTAGATGAAATTTCAGCAATAAAATGTTTATGTTGCTTGTCCTCCAGACCAGCTGGGTAAATTGGTTGGAGTGCTCAGCTGCCCCATCACGTTTATTTCCTCAGCTCTCTGCTCTGCAGGGTGATGGCCCTCACCACATGACTTCTTGTCTCTCTGGTTGAACAACATGAAGTAGGTCTTGCCTGCGTTTCCCTGACTCACTGCACAAGCCAAAGGGGAAGTCCTAGTGTCCTGATCTCGCTCTAACCACTCAGGGTCATCTCACTGTCTCCATGGAGTCTCAGCTCTGACCGTGCCACGATTTATAATTCATGCACTTTTACCAACTTTGATTGTCAAGTTATTAAATGTGAACAAATATAGGGAGAGAAACAAAAAGGGGGCCATATGAGAAATGTCTTACACGATGGCCTCCATCCTATTCAGGTTGTTGTAAATGACAAATTACTTCATGATGAAGGAGCTGTGCTTCTTTACATATGTGCATCTCGTTTCCACATCCATTCTTCAATGAGTGGAATCTCAAGTGTTTCCATTTCTCAATCATTAATGTGTTCAGGGTCAAAATGAACATGGGAATGCAGGCTTCTCTTTGACAATCTAATTTCATTTCCCTTGGCACTGAACCCGGTACATCTATGCAGTCAGATAGGTGGCTTTCTGAGTAACAAATCAGGCATGGCCACAGCTGAGTCTCAGCAGACACAGGAAGATGGCCACGTGTGAGAGGAGCAAGGAGCCAGAATGCTTGGACATCTCCACTGTGTGGGGCAGTGAGTCATGGACACAGAGGACACCACTTAGTCCATCTTGTTAAAGCCGAGGAACAAGAATCACAGGCAACTGCACGTTCAACACACAAAGAGAGAGTTGAAGACAATCTAGATGCTCTCCTAGGAGAAACAGCGTGTTGATAGAGCCTGGGAGGGAGGCAAGCAAGAAGGGATTCCAAAGATGAATGAACAGGTACTGTGTGATGGCTCTGGAGAAGAGGTTTGGGTTCCATTGCATCATAGAGGACCAGACGTCATGTAATGTAGATTTCCCACAAAAGCCCTAGTCGATAGCATTCTGGATGTTTTCAGCATAAGGAGTGTGAAACAGGAAGACATAGATGTATTCTCTGCTATGTACACCTATCCACACCTCACATAGTCCCCATAGGTACCTGCTAATTGAAGTACCCATTAAAATTTTTTTTAAATAACAAAATTGAAAGAAAAGCACAAAGAAAGGAGCTATCCAGATCAGGAACATTTGCATATATGAGTTCAGAGTGAGAATGGGGTGAAAGCTTGCAGGGTGCAAAAAGCCCAAGCACGTTCATGAATCACTCTTGTGTCATAACGTGATGAGCACAGCCAGTTCTTTAATGGCTCCTGTCTCTAGCAAGCAGGTGACAGAGAACGGTTGCTAACTCCACGATGGCGTCTTCAAGCGCCTGAAGGTCATTAATGTCTATGCAGAGCCCTTTGCACAATTTCGATCAGTTGATGGAACAGTTTTCTTCATTGGCTTATGTTTTCAAATAGTGGGTAAGAGGAAGAATTTAAGTGAAGCAGTATGGTGTCCTGAGGTGACAAACATGTAGAAATCAACCCGATGGGACCCAGAAACATGATTCAATTGGTGTGGGACAGAGCCTGGTTTGGGAAACTTGTAAAGCTTCTGGGTAATCCCAAAGGGTAGCAAAGCTTGAGAAGTACTTTTTCAACTCGTCGGCATTGCATACACTTGTAGAAATTTACCCTGAACATAGGCCTAGTTAGAGGAGTTAAAATTCAATTGATGTTAAAAAAAATAATATAGACAATGATGTTGGATTTGAAACACTGAGCTTTGTGCATTGCATACTGAAACAATGGCTTTTAGGATGTATCTACCTCTAGTATTCACTTAACCAACTTTTTCCAGCACTACTGGTCACATGAACAACCATCCTACACGGATGAGAATTTACCAACAGGATGAGAGCCACAATGCATGAATTCTAAGGAGAACACACTGGAGCATTTGGAAAAAGAAAGTCAAAGCTAAGACAGTCATCACTCTGGATAACTCTTGAAAAATATTACTCAGAGTCATGGAAGTAGAATGAATCATTAATTTGAGGATCACACACATAAATTATGTAAGCTTTGCTTGAACTGTATTTCTGGTTTACCTAGAAGAGTGTACTTCTTTTTACAAAGAATTTTATTTATGTATACATATGTTTGTTTGCCTTTGGGAATCAGATATACAGAGAGAAGGAGATACAGAGAGATCTGCCGTCAACTGGTCCACTCCCCAAGTGGCCACGGTGGCCAGAGGTGTGCCATTCCAAAACCAGCAGCTAGGAGGCCCTTCCTGGCCTCCCACATGGATACAGGATCCCAAGGTTTGAGCCATCATCATCCACTACCTTTCCAGGACACAGGCATAGAGCTGGATGGGAAGTGGAGAACACGGGGTCCAAATTGGTACCCATATGGGATGTCAGTGGATACAAGGCTTGCATTTAGCAACTGGGCTATTGCACCAGGCAAGTGTGTACTGCTCTTCCATGTACTTCTTTCAGTGCTCTTACTGAATCTTTTAGAATTTCATGATAGGAACTCAGCTGAGCAAACATGAAAACAGGTGGAGGCTGTGACCTTATGTTGCAAAGCACTATGTAGAAAAACAGGGATAAATGGAGCACTCATGTCTTAGGACACTTGACCCCTACACCAGACACAGAGCCAGGAATTTTATTGTTGATGGTGTGTTTTTGAGTGAATACCACATCAGTGCACAGAGCCAGAGAAATGACCAGGGAAGGAAAGGAAATCATGACAGTGTGAGGGAGGGAGCACAAGACAACTGTGGGCAACTGGGTTTCATCGCTGAGGACCAGGGAAATATCCAGAAATGCCCTCAGGCTCAGAAAAGTGAGTGAGGACACCCTCTCAACACCGAATGCATGGCGTGGTCACTGCACACAGAGGTTCCTACTCTCCTGCCCAGGCATTCGTCCTCCAGGGAGAATCAGCAGCAGAAAGAGGACCAGCCTGGATTAAGAAACCATCTCCAGTTAGACTGAGAAGGACTGGCAAGTAGAGGTAGAGTCCTAATATCCTTTACCATGGTCTTCCATCAAGAGAACAAACAGTATTTCCTACCTAGTTTGAAAATGCAAGATGAAACAATCAAACACAGAGCCCTCGCATTTGTATGAGTTGACAATTCAAATTTATTCAAGATGTAGGAATATCTCCATATGAGAAAAGATGACACAGAGCAAATATTTCCATTGCAGTGACATGCTGGTCCAAAGATATGAGAGGGTTCAAATGTGGGTTCCTTGGGAAAGAGAGAGTTCCATGGTACGGATTGGAGGTGATCTATAAGTGAGCGAAAGGCAATCACAAATGCAGTTGAAATGGGCGTCGAGAATCAGCCTCTCCTGAAAGAGCTCATGGGCAGACTACCTCAGGAGTATAAGCTGTTGAAAAACAGGTGAGTCTAGGCCATAATGCTTAGCAACAAGAAGCACTGGAGCAGCTAGGGCAGCAGCAGGTGGACACAGTGCAGCTGGGGCGGCAGCACTGGGTTCTGCAGCAGGTGGTCTGGAGACAGCAAGTGGGCTGGCAGCAAGTAGAGCTAGGGCAGCAGGTGGGTCTGCAGCAAGTGGGCTGGCAGCATGGGGGCTTGCAGCAGCTGGAGGTGCAGCAGGTGGGTCTGCAACAAGTGGGCTGGCAACACTGGGGCTGGCAGCAGCTAGAGATGCAGCAGCTGGGGCGGCAGCAGCTGGAGATGCAGCAGCTGGGTCTGCAACAAGTGGGCTGGCAGCAGCTGGAGATGCAGCAGCTGGGTCTGCAACAAGTGGGCTGGCAACAGCTAGAGATGCAGCAGCTGGGGCGGCAGCATTGAGTTCTGCAGCAAGTGGGCTGGCAGCACACAGACTGACAACATTGGGGCCTGCAGCAACTAGGGCGGCAGCAGCTCGAGATGCAGCAGCTGGGGCGGCAACAAGTGGGCTGGCAGCACACAGACTGGCAACATTGCGGTCTGCAGCAGGGGCTAGGGCAGCAGCTGGAGATGCAGCAGCTGGGACGACAGCAGGTGGGTCTGCAACATGAAGGCTGGCAGCACTGGGGCTTGCAGCAGCTGGAGATGCAGCAGCTGGGGCGGCAGCAGGAGGCCTGGCAGCAGCTGGGGCGGCAGCAGGTCTCCTGCTCAGAGCACACAGAACCACAACAGGAGTTGACCATGGTGTCAGAGGATGGAGGTGGTGTGTGGGTTTCCAGAAGGTGGGTTTGAAAGGTGTGGATGTCTCCTTGACTCGGGACCTCTTTTATACCCTGCTGAGAGATGCTCTCATCCGGTGTGATGCTCTTTCCTTGTTAGTGTTTGTCTTGATAAGCAGGTGATTATATCATTATGTTGGTTTCTTTTCCTGCATTCATTTTCAGATGAGGTAGGAAGCAGCATTGCCTTTCCTGATGTGTTAAGATTCATCTGCAAGTTCTTCCTGATCAACCGCTCTAGATCACTCTAGTGATTTTAAGGAAATCTCTCATGTGACACTGGTCCTCTTGTTTTTCTCTTTATCATAGTGCATTAGACATCATGTCCACTCTTGGTTGATAGTGATTTCTCTGGGTCTGTTTTCCATATTTCTCAACCCAGTTGGACACAACTGCAGTAGAGCATGATAATGTATTCACACTGGGTAAGGCGGATGGAAAGATTTGGAGAACAGGGCACTTCTGCCTTGAAGATACGAAGGCGAAAAGGACATAATCTTTCCCATATACAACGGGACCAGATTCTCGATGTTTTTATGCCAAAAACTAAGATGCTCTTAGATGAAATTTCAGCAATAAAATGTTTATGTTGCTTGTCCTCCAGACCAGCTGGGTAAATTGGTTGGAGTGCTCAGCTGCCCCATCACGTTTATTTCCTCAGCTCTCTGCTCTGCAGGGTGATGGCCCTCACCACATGACTTCTTGTCTCTCTGGTTGAACAACATGAAGTAGGTCTTGCCTGCGTTTCCCTGACTCACTGCACAAGCCAAAGGGGAAGTCCTAGTGTCCTGATCTCGCTCTAACCACTCAGGGTCATCTCACTGTCTCCATGGAGTCTCAGCTCTGACCGTGCCACGATTTATAATTCATGCACTTTTACCAACTTTGATTGTCAAGTTATTAAATGTGAACAAATATAGGGAGAGAAACAAAAAGGGGGCCATATGAGAAATGTCTTACACGATGGCCTCCATCCTATTCAGGTTGTTGTAAATGACAAATTACTTCATGATGAAGGAGCTGTGCTTCTTTACATATGTGCATCTCGTTTCCACATCCATTCTTCAATGAGTGGAATCTCAAGTGTTTCCATTTCTCAATCATTAATGTGTTCAGGGTCAAAATGAACATGGGAATGCAGGCTTCTCTTTGACAATCTAATTTCATTTCCCTTGGCACTGAACCCGGTACATCTATGCAGTCAGATAGGTGGCTTTCTGAGTAACAAATCAGGCATGGCCACAGCTGAGTCTCAGCAGACACAGGAAGATGGCCACGTGTGAGAGGAGCAAGGAGCCAGAATGCTTGGACATCTCCACTGTGTGGGGCAGTGAGTCATGGACACAGAGGACACCACTTAGTCCATCTTGTTAAAGCCGAGGAACAAGAATCACAGGCAACTGCACGTTCAACACACAAAGAGAGAGTTGAAGACAATCTAGATGCTCTCCTAGGAGAAACAGCGTGTTGATAGAGCCTGGGAGGGAGGCAAGCAAGAAGGGATTCCAAAGATGAATGAACAGGTACTGTGTGATGGCTCTGGAGAAGAGGTTTGGGTTCCATTGCATCATAGAGGACCAGACGTCATGTAATGTAGATTTCCCACAAAAGCCCTAGTCGATAGCATTCTGGATGTTTTCAGCATAAGGAGTGTGAAACAGGAAGACATAGATGTATTCTCTGCTATGTACACCTATCCACACCTCACATAGTCCCCATAGGTACCTGCTAATTGAAGTACCCATTAAAATTTTTTTTAAATAACAAAATTGAAAGAAAAGCACAAAGAAAGGAGCTATCCAGATCAGGAACATTTGCATATATGAGTTCAGAGTGAGAATGGGGTGAAAGCTTGCAGGGTGCAAAAAGCCCAAGCACGTTCATGAATCACTCTTGTGTCATAACGTGATGAGCACAGCCAGTTCTTTAATGGCTCCTGTCTCTAGCAAGCAGGTGACAGAGAACGGTTGCTAACTCCACGATGGCGTCTTCAAGCGCCTGAAGGTCATTAATGTCTATGCAGAGCCCTTTGCACAATTTCGATCAGTTGATGGAACAGTTTTCTTCATTGGCTTATGTTTTCAAATAGTGGGTAAGAGGAAGAATTTAAGTGAAGCAGTATGGTGTCCTGAGGTGACAAACATGTAGAAATCAACCCGATGGGACCCAGAAACATGATTCAATTGGTGTGGGACAGAGCCTGGTTTGGGAAACTTGTAAAGCTTCTGGGTAATCCCAAAGGGTAGCAAAGCTTGAGAAGTACTTTTTCAACTCGTCGGCATTGCATACACTTGTAGAAATTTACCCTGAACATAGGCCTAGTTAGAGGAGTTAAAATTCAATTGATGTTAAAAAAAATAATATAGACAATGATGTTGGATTTGAAACACTGAGCTTTGTGCATTGCATACTGAAACAATGGCTTTTAGGATGTATCTACCTCTAGTATTCACTTAACCAACTTTTTCCAGCACTACTGGTCACATGAACAACCATCCTACACGGATGAGAATTTACCAACAGGATGAGAGCCACAATGCATGAATTCTAAGGAGAACACACTGGAGCATTTGGAAAAAGAAAGTCAAAGCTAAGACAGTCATCACTCTGGATAACTCTTGAAAAATATTACTCAGAGTCATGGAAGTAGAATGAATCATTAATTTGAGGATCACACACATAAATTATGTAAGCTTTGCTTGAACTGTATTTCTGGTTTACCTAGAAGAGTGTACTTCTTTTTACAAAGAATTTTATTTATGTATACATATGTTTGTTTGCCTTTGGGAATCAGATATACAGAGAGAAGGAGATACAGAGAGATCTGCCGTCAACTGGTCCACTCCCCAAGTGGCCACGGTGGCCAGAGGTGTGCCATTCCAAAGCCAGCAGCTAGGAGGCCCTTCCTGGCCTCCCACATGGATACAGGATCCCAAGGTTTGAGCCATCATCATCCACTACCTTTCCAGGACACAGGCATAGAGCTGGATGGGAAGTGGAGAACACGGGGTCCAAATTGGTACCCATATGGGATGTCAGTGGATACAAGGCTTGCATTTAGCAACTGGGCTATTGCACCAGGCAAGTGTGTACTGCTCTTCCATGTACTTCTTTCAGTGCTCTTACTGAATCTTTTAGAATTTCATGATAGGAACTCAGCTGAGCAAACATGAAAACAGGTGGAGGCTGTGACCTTATGTTGCAAAGCACTATGTAGAAAAACGGGGATAAATGGAGCACTCATGTCTTAGGACACTTGACCCCTACACCAGACACAGAGCCAGGAATTTTATTGTTGATGGTGTGTTTTTGAGAGAATACCACATCAGTGCACAGAGCCAGAGAAATGACCAGGGAAGGAAAGGAAATCATGACAGTGTGAGGGAGGGAGCACAAGACAACTGTGGGCAACTGGGTTTCATCGCTGAGGACCAGGGAAATATCCAGAAATGCCCTCAGGCTCAGAAAAGCGAGTGAGGACACCCTCTCAACACCGAATGCATGGCGTGGTCACTGCACACAGAGGTTCCTACTCTCCTGCCCAGGAATTCGTCCTCCAGGGAGAATCAGCAGCAGAAAGAGGACCAGCCTGGATTAAGAAACCATCTCCAGTTAGACTGAGAAGGACTGGCAAGTAGAGGTAGAGTCCTAATATCCTTTACCATGGTCTTCCATCAAGAGAACAAACAGTATTTCCTACCTAGTTTGAAAATGCAAGATGAAACAATCAAACACAGAGCCCTTACATTTGTATGAGTTGACAATTCAAATTTATTCAAGATGTAGGAATATCTCCATATGAGAAAAGATGACACAGAGCAAATATTTCCATTGCAGTGACATGCTGGTCCAAAGATATGAGAGGGTTCAAATGTGGGTTCCTTGGGAAAGAGAGAGTTCCATGGTATGGATTGGAGGTGATCTATAAGTGAGCGAAAGGCAATCACAAATGCGGTTGAAATGGGCGTCGAGAATCAGCCTCTCCTGAAAGAGCTCATGGGCAGACTACCTCAAGAGTATAGGCTGTTGAAAAACAGCTGAGTCTAGGCCATAATGCTTAGCAACAAGAAGCACTGGAGCAGCTAGGGCAGCAGCAGGTGGACACAGTGCAGCTGGGGCGGCAGCACTGGGTTCTGCAGCAGGTGGTCTGGAGACAGCAAGTGGGCTGGCAGCAAGTAGAGCTAGGGCAGCAGGTGGGTCTGCAGCAAGTGGGCTGGCAGCATGGGGGCTTGCAGCAGCTGGAGGTGCAGCAGGTGGGTCTGCAACAAGTGGGCTGGCAACACTGGGGCTGGCAACAGCTAGAGATGCAGCAGCTGGGGCGGCAGCAGCTGGAGATGCAGCAGCTGGGTCTGCAACAAGTGGGCTGGCAGCAGCTGGGTCTGCAACAACTGGGCTGGCAACAGCTAGAGATGCAGCAGCTGGGGCGGCAGCATTGAGTTCTGCAGCAAGTGGGCTGGCAGCACACAGACTGGCAACATTGGGGCCTGCAGCAACTAGGGCGGCAGCAGCTCGAGATGCAGCAGCTGGGGCGGCAACAAGTGGGCTGGCAGCACACAGACTGGCAACATTGCGGTCTGCAGCAGGGGCTAGGGCAGCAGCTGGAGATGCAGCAGCTGGGACGACAGCAGGTGGGTCTGCAACATGAAGGCTGGCAGCACTGGGGCTTGCAGCAGCTGGAGATGCAGCAGCTGGGGCGGCAGCAGGAGGCCTGGCAGCAGCTGGGGCGGCAGCAGGTCTCCTGCTCAGAGCACACAGAACCACAACAGGAGTTGACCATGGTGTCAGAGGATGGAGGTGGTGTGTGGGTTTCCAGAAGGTGGGTTTGAAAGGTGTGGATGTCTCCTTGACTCGGGACCTCTTTTATACCCTGCTGAGAGATGCTCTCATCCGGTGTGATGCTCTTTCCTTGTTAGTGTTTGTCTTGATAAGCAGGTGATTATATCATTATGTTGGTTTCTTTTCCT